ATTGATCAATGTTAGATAATTTTGAATCAAAATTATTTACATCTTGACCACAAGGTTATATATATACCGCTATAATGATGGTGATGATGGTGAGATTGTCTCTGAGGATCCAACCTTCCAAATGTCTAGTCTTGATCAAGCTAAGTAGAGCGCATTGAATCGTACCAAAGACCGATAAAATAACGGTACTCGAGTATGGACAAGGGTATTGCACGTTGATCTTGGCTTGTATAAGCATCCAAGAAGAGTAAAGTGCCATTCCCGTGAATAAAAACACACAACCTTTGATCCAATTCTCAGGTTTTGTGTGATTGTTCATCGTTGCTTGTTCTTGAGAGTGATGAGTTAATGGAATGCCTTGGTACATGGTAAGAAGTAAAGCTCCTCCCAAGCTTATCAGAGTTCCAAGAATGACGCCGTATCCTACTTTTGTTTTCATATTTAGCTTTTCAAACCTACAAAGATCAAAATAAAGAAATTATTACACTTGAAATGATAACATGTAGTGACAAATTTATAGTTTATGATAAATGTTTAATTTACCCAAATATTAAAGCCATAATAAAAGTGAGGGAAGGGATTATGGCGCAGAAAGCAGATCCTAACGTGGCAGAAGTGTAGGAGAGCCCAAGCAAGTAGAAATATTGCAACAAACTCGCCCTGAAAAAAAAAAAGATTATAATAAAAGATTATATTATAAATTAAACACACAAACTTGACCAAAAAAATTAAACACACAAAATAAAATAGAGGGAGTGAATTGTAAGAAATGAAAAGTTACGGAATAAAACTAAAAAACTTACCCAAAAAGACCACTGACGAAAAGCTGACACGAGATGCTTATAGTTAGCTTCGGCCTTGTTTTCCTGACCAAATCATGAAATCGAATATTTATTTTGTTCTTAGATTCCATCTCCGTACATAAAACAAAAACATTAGTAATAAGATCCTCATATAATTTATAAGTTGATTAAGTTATTTAATTAGTGACGAAGCAAAAAGTAATACTATCGATTTAGTGACGCAGCAAAAGTAATACTATATCGATTTAGTGATGAAGCATGAACGTTTTGTATTTTTGTCTTCTTTTGAATTTCACAATATAGTAAACAAGTTCAATTTGGAAAAGAACAGTGCCTTGGAATATTAAAAGCAGTTTAGTTTATTAAGCAGTGTAACAGTTGAAAACTAAGAAAAAATAGTTAAAAATACAAAAAAATAATATAAACCTACCGTTCCCAAAAATAAGCGATTGGAAGAAGAAAAAGGGTGGAAATAGCGAGACGGTAAGTAGCAATAACCATATGGTTAATGCCTCCATCAAGAACTTTCTTCACCAAAGCGTTAACCGTTCCCGTAACCACGTTAATCAAAATTATCGTGATCAACGGTACCCATTTTCCATCGATCCAACCCATGATTAAAAAGTTGATTAACTACACTATCTGTTAATTACTTAATAATCAAA